TGTCCTTATAATAGTGGAGAAAATCTTTCCTGATTCATTTTTATACCTAAATTTAAAATTTAAATATCTCCCTCTAGGCAAGCCAACAGCCGCTAATATTTTAACCTTGTTAGTTTGGCGGTGAGAGCTTTCATTTGACCCGAATATGTGCCATCGTTTTAAGTTACAGTACAAACACCTCCATTGTAAGTGACCTTGCTTGCAGAGTCGAAAATGGTTGCACGGAAATTGGTTCATTTGGAAAAAAATAATAAAGTGCATATCTAAAACAAACTTTTCTTTTGTAAATTATAGAAATTTTCACGTTGTATCTTGTAATATATATTTTTTTTTTCTTATAATTAATTAACTGATGAAGAAATGAAATGCAAAATGCAGCCATTCATTGTTTCCCTACAGTTGTAAAAGTATCAGCATTCTTATTTTAACATGTACAAGTATATTTCTTTGTTACGTTGGTAAAATACAAATATGATACAGTGGAGAAATCGAATATGATTCTTGGTCATAAGTTGAAAATTAAATGCTAACAACATGTGATCCTTCCCGTTTACGGATACATGTTTTTGGTAGTAAGAATATCAATACTATTTTGAGTAATTCAATCATTTTTTAAAACTAATTCAGTGCATAGACCAATAGCAATTTCATCTAATATAAATGTGGAAATATTTTCCATGTTAATTTTTAACTCCATTAACTCAAAAATACGTAATATGTAGATGATAGATTTTGCTGATCCTATATTCATCATTGTATCAATTAATACATTATTAACTTGAAAAGTAACAATAGGAGATGTAGATGGATGTTTGTTGCTGTCAGAGATAGTACTATCATTTGTTGTCTCTGTTATTGATTCAAATGACTTGGACAATATTTTTGTATTTGACTTGTTTGTTCATATTTGAAATATTTCACGCAACTGGTACATGGTTAAACATTATTATTGGTTTGTTGATAATTTCTAAATGATTGACCACTTTATTGTTCAGTTGGTGAATTAAGAATCATGTTGTTTTGCGATTGTTGGTTCTTAATTGTTTGTAATGTTCGTTGATCTCCAATAATTTGATTATGACGGTATTGTATAAACCCTTGTGGTCTGTATGATAGCCAATAACATTGTTGATGAGATTGATGATAAAAAGGTTGGTGGACTTGTTGATATGATTGAGATGCAGCAATGGTTTAATAATCATTAGATTCGAATGCATGTACTGATTCACATAACTCACTAGACTTATCTTGTTTACGATGATGACTCATAATCTTTCCACTCGATTCAAAGTTCTTTGCTGGAATCATGAATTGTTCACGTGTTTGAAGATTTAATGGTAATAATTTTTCTTTCAATCCTTCTTTCACTTCATCAATGAGTTTTATCGTTTTATCAATACTTTGAAATGTCTGACAAAACGCTATCTATATTGCATATGAGATTTGATTATTACTATACCAACCGAATACAGTAATCTATTTCCTGTGCGAGTGAGATGATCAGCATCATTGATATTGAATGCAGTAAAAATAATTGCAGCTCCATCACATCAAAAAAGTGAATTTTCTTGTGAAGTTCGATGAAATGATTAAATGCTATCAAATGTTTGATTTACTGTATTAGTTATAGTAACAGTCAATTGACTTTGTTGATGGCAAATTTATCGAACCAATTATCAAATTGAGGCAAAGTGATGAAATTGAAGATTATAATGAGATACCAGGTCTTCAAATAACTTGGTATAATGATTTTATCACTAGTCCAAAATACAGTCTTGAATTGACGCAATTGCTGTTTTTCTTTTTTCTTGAGTTGTTGTTGTCGATTGACTAGGGTCATTGTGTCAATGTTACAGGGATTTTTTTTCAGTAGCAAAATTTCGAGAGAAACAAGAAAACTACGTTTTTCCCACAACCGAGCAATTGATTCATTTAAATTCTTTCAATTAAACATACGTCACCAAAAACCACCGCCCGATAATCAAGAGAAAGGAAGAGAGATAAAAGAAGAAAACGTTTGGCCTTGGTTTGTACAGAATGCATATGTACTACAAGAGCAAAACATAGATAATCACGCAAAAACGACGAAGAACAAGATGAAGAAATAGAAAGCGTGATACTTGCTACAAATGCTAGCTAATACTATACGTAAAGAAGTTCAATCTAACGTTGTTTATTAAATTCACTATCCTGATTATGAAAACTTCATACATATGTAGGATCCTACGACAAAGGTCCAGAAGATTGTATAAACATTATGATTATCTAAAAAAGATGAAAAGACACATCTGAATCTTCTCAGTCATTAACTTCAACATTGACTTTAGTGAATTAACGTAGATCAAACAGAAATTAAAGAAAAAAAATTCAATACTATCCTAAAAGAAACAGATTGAAACTTTTAAAAAAATTCGGAAAAGATCTGCTCTTAGAAAACACAAGCACAGTAACATATCATACAATTAACTAGATTCAATGTGAAGTAATCATAAGAAGTTCAAAATAATATCAAGTACTAGCAAGAGAACCCTTATCGTTGCTGTTCAGCAATCTAAGCTAAATAAAATTCTTTGTTTTGTACTACTCATAATATGTTCGAAAAGAGCATAACAAACGAAAACTAAAAGTGTCGATGAAACAATGATTGATGCACGCCAATGGAAGCAACCAATCAGTGTAATGAGTGCTCTTCACTGTAGATATATCGGTAAGGCTTGTGTTTGAAAGAAACAAATAAATATTTGTATTTTTCGTTCTTTAAACGATATTTATCCTTGTGAATCATCATCACATATATTGACGACGATAGCACAACTGTCGACATGTTAATATTAAAAAAAGCTTATTTAATAATGAAACTGTATTTAGCAATAAAACAAATTATTATACAACGAAAAAGAAACAAAATTTCATAAAAGCATTCAAAAATCTGAAGTTACTGCACAACATATCACGTTTATCCTCAAATTTTTAGCGAACAAAAAAAAATATCGAAATTACATGTACTTTGTAGAAAAGGAAATGAATAGCATATCAAATAATAAGCATTTTTTAGAAAAAAAAATTTTTTTAGTTAAGTTCATATTTACTTGAGCTCGTCACAAGAGTGCAGGACAATTCCCGGCAAAATACTCATGACTATCAGCATTCATGATTGCTTGCGACGGAGCACTCAAAGCCAGACTCGTGCATGCATCTTTACCGTATGCATAATCATATGTACCAACGACGGCTTGGAAATGCTAACTTTCATGGATAAGTGTGCCGGCTTTTGAGTCTGTGCCTGTCATTGAAGCCGACCAGAACAAAGAACATAAGTGGATTCTGTATGGTTGATTCCTGTAAACATATGCATAAATGCCGGCATCATTACATCCACAATCGAAAGTCATAGACTTCGAATTCAATACATTTTTGAGATTTTGAAAGTGTAACTTTTGTTTATTCCAATTGGCCAACATAAATGTACCAAACCATGTCTTATAACGATTTGTTCCACAAGGCTTTGTCTTATTCAAATAAATGAACGAATTATTGGCATATCTAAGAGCCCATGAGACTGCATTCATTATCTGAGATTTTTGGGTCGTTGAACAAGAAACATAAGAAAGAGTAGCTGCTCTTCTAAGCACATTCATAATGTTATGTTGTTCATGCTGGATATTCGGACGACCTTCTATTGCCAATTGAATATTATTTGATGGGAGACCAGATTCACGTTTACTAATGGCTTTGACAATAGTATTTTCGAATGTTCGGGCATGTTTGAAAACAACACGCTCACCTGGCATATCATATTGGATTGAATAAATGCCAGTCTTGGTCATATCATATGATGATGATAAACGAACTTGAGTGACTGTTGTTTTACCAGGTTCTAGAGGAGTCATATTTTTAACAGTCGGCTGACACCGTTTTATTAATGGACCAATGTAATCAACAGGAATATCATCACAGGCTACTTTGAATAATGGACCATTTAATTCGTTGTCTGGAAAGCACCAGTTATAAATCGATATTGTTCTATTACTAGTGTTGTTGTATTGTACTTTCACTACTACATCCTGTATTTTATCAAACGTCGAATGAGCTGAAAGTATTTTAACTTGTAAACAACTTGCATAAACATTAGCAACCATTATTGTGATTGAAATGATTATAATAGCATGTGGCTTGTTCATAGTTGTTCTTCAATATATTGCAATCTACTTGTATGTAAACAACTTGTTTAGTGTATACAGAAAAAGAAAGATGTATTGTATTTATATACAAAATAAGTTTGAACGCAACATCAGGTCCAAATATATCACGTATTCTGGTTTATTTTTCATGACAGTTGTACCTATCCTCACGTGACTGGCCCATATACGTTAAATCGATTCGAAAACAATCGGAAAATTACAATATATCATCGAACTATTACTGGTACATTGCTAACATGATTCATAAACAAAATGGTGATTGATGTATTGCATAAACAAACAAACGAAACAAGATGAAATATAATTTATAATTAAGGACGGATAAGCTAGTAGCTTCTATGCATCAAAAAACAATCATCTGATCGGAATAAGATTCTGATTCATCATATGTACAAGCAAACTTATGGTTAAACCTTTCGTCATTCGAACAAACTATATTCATGATATCTCTTTACATCATTTCTATTGTTGTCTATGACTTTGATTAGTGCATTTTTATTTTGTAAGATAATCCACGGTACTTCGTATTAGTATATGAGTGATTGATGCACAAATTGTGTACCCATATATCACATTCACGTGTATATTCGAATGATATAGATGAATGCTACCTGAGGAATCATTGAAAAATCATACGGAAATTAAATACCACATATCAGTGACGTATTAATGTAACAAAATATGTCCTTACATCATAATATATTAGAAACAATAAGAAGTTAGTGAAACGTGACAAATGCACGGAATTGACAACATATTGTATTAATGATAGAATTAACCAATGAGAAAATCAAGAGATACAAAAACATTATAGAAAATAAAAACAAAGTCATGTGTGCTGTTATTAGTCACAACCAAAATATTTATTTTTCATTCGTTCATTGACGACATTCCTTTTCTTATTCTTTTTTCATAAATCCAACCATCATCATTTGATAATTCTATAAATTCTTTACTGCTACAAATGCCTTCTCCTGATTGCAAAAGTTCATGGAAGATAAGAAAATTTTTTTTCCAAGCATCAAAGAATTGCTTTATCAAGAAAACGTCAGCTAATTATGCATCATCGAGGCCATCTTCACACTCACACGAAAGAGAGAAAGCAGAAAAAAATGATTGACTTTGGTATGTGCAGAATACATACACCCAGTCTAAAAAGTATCCGGACACCCTATGTTTTTTCGTATTTCTTGGTTTGCGAAGCAGAAATAAGAGATAATTTTTTTCTTTTTTTACCAGTAGATAGTCCTTACTTCGAACTAGGTTTCCTATAAAAGCAGCAATTTTGACTATCATCTCGAATTACCGGGACGTTTCTCATGAAAATGTTCGATTTTCCAATATGTTAAGTGCTTGATCTCCTGACATTAGAATTATATTATTTGCACACCGCTAGAAAGAGGAAAGGACGCTCTATCTGTTGGCATAATATTTCAATAAAGGAAGATAATTTTTACGATGTAAACTGTTTCAAAAGAAATCAGATTCTTGAACATGCCTAATACCACAGTGCGAGTAAAAGATCACAATGAAGTTCTTATCAAAATTAATCTCCAAATATACTGCTAGAAAGCCTGTGGAAAACTGCACAAAATAAGGACTATCTACTGGTGGAAGAAAAGAAAAAATTTATCTCTTGTTTCTGTTTCGCAACCAGGAAATACGAAAATACATAGGGGTGTCCAGATACTTTTTGGACTGGGTGTATATGCAGAAAACATCTATTAGCGGTACCGAAATTTTTATTGGGTATCTATGCGATCAGTCTAATTCGACGGTCAGTTAATTGCTCACTCCTAATCATTTTTATCCCATATATATTTACGAAATATATCCACAATGGTTAATCTGAAATTTGTCACAGGTTGACAAGTTATAACTTTCGTATCCTGCAACCTGCCCTATAATAATTTTTATAATCATATACTATTCTACCCTGTAGCTATTTTTGTACCTTACCCTACCTTGTCCTGAAGGACTCTACCCAGCAGATACTGTAACAAACTTTCAGCTAATAGTTGGTAATCTGTTGATACTCGTGTTTGTGAATGTAGAAAATATTTTAACATGTTTTCCATGTATGTAAATCAAATAATAATTTGTAAAAAATTTGTTAGATAAATGTTATTGCAATGAAACTTTTGAATTTAAAAAGTTTTTTTTATCTTGAATTTATAATTTGTAGAATTTAACCTAATCGTGCGTTGTCTCATGGGTAATGTATTGATACGTCTTATGCTTGATTTTCCTCTTCCAGTGTAGGATAGAAGGTCTTTTGACATTAAATTGTTTGCTTTTTTTGATTTGAAGGTAAGTACATTATTCATTTCATGTAATGGTTATACGTTCATTATTTTTCAGATGATTATCGTCCATATTAACATTAAATTGATTTATTTTCATGATTCCAGTTGATTCTGAATTATTTAACAAATATAATCTGTTGTTTATTCAATATTTCAATCATTGAAGATTGAATACGGTTTTGTAAATTTTCTAACTCAAAATTTCTTTCTCTCTTGTAACTTGAAAAATAAATCCCAAAGATTTTTCTTTTTTTAACGTCTTATTAAATAGAGCAAGTATTTTTATTCTTGAATAATTTCATATAACATACTAAAGGCTTTCACAATTAGTAGTACTAAAAGTATAGCTGACAACAGAATGATATTTTATTCATACATAGAGAATATACTCAATGAAAGTATGTATTGAAGAAATTGATTTATAGATTAATTGTAACGGTAAAAATGAATTAGAATGACTTTAATGACAAATGATGCTTTTATCGTTAAGTTGCCTTTTATATTAGTTTCAGAGTGAGAATATTTTTGATCACCAAAAAAAGATACTTTTGATCACCAAATTTTTCTACAATTCATTTCGCATTATCTTTCTCAATAAAAACTGTGGATATGAAATCTTCTGATCATCCATCCACGCCCACACTTACACATACACGTCTTCACCCACCCACGCACACACCCGAACCCACAAACCTGCACCCAATAACTGTGATATTGTCAAATGAATTGACCACATGTAGCAGGATCCGGTCTAATTGTAAGGTTAACATTTTCAAAAAAGAAAATAGATATGTACTTTTTCTACAGATTCACACAACCTAATCAGTAAGAATTGGGATCATAAATTAATTAGCTTCTCCATATACTGACTGCTTTGATCATAAATTAATCTTCTTGATCACTGGAAACAGTGTTGAATATGAATGAGGTGTTAAATGAGTTCTGTAGAAGCATCCGAGAAGAGAAAATGAAAAATCGCAACTCCAAAAAAATTGGTGATCAAAAATATCTTTTTTCCTTAGTTTCATAGATATTTTATTTTAATATTTATTTCTGATATGATAAACTTGATTAAGAATAGAAATGTTTATAAAGATAATCATCATCTACGTAGTTATATAGCAACTGATCATAATAAATTAAAACAACAATCGTAAATTAAAGATATTTAGCTAATTGTCATTCATATATATAAAATCTTGAACAAAGAATAATAAGGAGTATTGTTATTTACTATTCTTCCAACTAAAATACATTATTTCTTATGAAATATTCAATTTAAATCACTATTTTACTTTTATTTCAAGAAAAAAGAAAATATGACCATCGTGTTCTCCATCAAAAATTACTTACATCTAAACGAAATGTAACTGGAAATTGAACAGTAAAGTAATGTACAAATAATGTCTATCTTATAGAGACCTTTGAAAGATGACCTCCGATACAAACCGTTTCAGGAGATCCCATGCTGATTTTTTATCGGGTTGTAACCCATATATAGCACTTCCAACTTCTGAAAATCAAGTGCCAAACAACTAACACATTTCTTGGTAGAAAATTGATCTTAAAATCGATTTTTTTTTCACAAATCTGTTTTTCAGAGTAGATGCCTAATTCGAGTTCGAATATAAATGGAAAATTAAAAAAAATCTTACGCATGTTAAAATTGCAAAAAAGCAAAAGATAAATTTTATACAAATTATAATTTATAAATTCGACAGTAGTGTAAAACCTGAAAGTTGAATTCAACTATCACTTCAACTATTCAAGCTATTCCATAGAAATCACGAATGATACACATTGCTGTGTACACAGAGACGAGTATGGGTCGCGGCTCTTCGGGGAGTGCTGCGCGCTCTCACACTACAACGCAGATATAAAAGGTTAGTTATGCGGGCAAAGAGTTTTACCCTGAGTCGGTTCTGCTTTCAGTGAGATTTGCCTCCGCGTACCTCTCCCATATTCTCTCTCCCACTTTTGTTGTTTCGGTGCCTTTGAATTTATAAATTATAATTTATATAAAATTTTATCTTTTGCTGTTTTAACAGGAAAGTCGTTTTTTCATTTATTTTCAAAGTTATAGTAAACACATCGCTCTTCATTTGTATTCGAACTTGAATTAGGTAACTCATGGAGTTTTGCACGGATTCCGTCGAAAAATATTGATTTCTTCAATCTATTCGTTCTTTCCGTTTTCATGCTAACGAACAGAAAAAAATGCTGGTTGAATTCCCATGAATACTTGAAAAGAAAGGAAAATGCTGTTCTTTACAGTCTACATATAGACACAAGCAAACACTTGATATAAAATTGAAAGAAAAAAATCAAGTTTACGTCCAGCGGCTACCTTACAGCTTTTGCGTTTCTTTGTTAACATCAAACGCTAGTAGCTGTTGACAGAAGCAAAAAATGACATAATTGCAGCAAGAGCTAAAGCACAGAGTAGATCAGTCTATACAAATATGGAAACAAACTTCAACTGACGCATTTTTCAAAATATTAGACATTTCAACAAAAATTGCAATGCTTTTATCTCTCATCAAATTACCTATCGAACTTGTTTATCGTATTCTTGACAATCTCGACGATTTAACGATTATTATATCACTTCGTAACATTTGTTCTCGACTA